GCCACTGGGGCCTTCGGCGAAGCTCCACATGGGGCCACGGAGCGTGTAAGGGGTGTGCCGACATACAGGTGGAACCGCATGCGAGCCCTGCCATTGGGACCTTTGGCGGGGCACCCGATGGGGCCACGAATTGTGTAAGGGGTGCAAAGGATGAGAGGAGGGAGGAGAGGGAGGCGGAAGGTGTGGCGTGGGGCGCTGTCCGTGCAAAACGAGGGCCCAACACCACAGGATGGTTGCCAAAGAAAACGTTCCAACACATTCCTCAGGATATGTTCTGGAAAGCTCCCGTTCTAGAGAACCTCCCAAAAGCCTTCCGCAGGAAGGTTCGTGGAGGGATTCCTTTAGACCAGTGTCCAACAGCATTCCCCATGAACGGTGTTTAGAGGGCTACCTGCAGACAAAAAATCCAGACCTTCCTCAAGAAGACTTTTGGAGGGCTTTCTCTATTCCTAGGTGTATGCATTTATTTATTTATATCTATATATATATAGAGAGAGAGAGTGAGAGAGCGGTCTCCTCACGCGCCATGACCCCCCCCTTTCCTTTTGGAAGATCGCAGGAGGACAGGGGCGGTTCAGGTGCGCGCGCCGGCCGTGGATGCGAGGCTTCGGAGTGGGTCGGGTCGTGCGCTGGGGGCGAAGGGATGAAGCAGTGGTGAAGCGTCCTGGCTCGCCTATAGGCCTACCACATAATGTTCTAAGAACCTTTTGTGGTTTCCACGATATGCTCTTAGCACATGTCTGGCTGAGACTGTTTTGTTTGAACACGTCGGGCTTATGTTCTAAGAACATTGTTTATGTTATTAGAACAGTGGTAGGCCTGTAGGGATGCCGGGGCGGTCGGTCCCTGCTCACAAGGGAGGGGGACACGGCCTCGAGTCACGCTACCGCTCGTGCTGCTTGCCGCCCCCCCAGACGCGGGGCGGTGCGGCGCGCGGCCGCCGTCGCGGGGGCCGCCTCGCTGGGGGCTCCTTCCCGGGGGGGGGGCGGGTCTCCGCCTTCGCACCCGCTGGCCTTCGCTTCTCGTCCCTCTGTCGTTCCTCCGCCGCTCCTGCACGCCTCCTCTCCTCCACTCCTCCACGCCCACCCACACCGCTCCTAACTCACTCCTCCCGCTGTCCTCCCTTTTTCTCCTCCGTCGCTTCTCCTCCTCCTCCTTCGTCCCTTCTCCTCTTCCTCCTTCCCTTCTCCTCCTTCTCCTCCTCTTGCTTCTCCTCCTCTTGCTGTTCATGCATCTCCTCCTCGCCTCTCCTCCCCCCTCTCAGAAGTACTCCTGCTCCAGCTCCTCCCCCTCCTCCTCCTGCTCCTCTCCTCCTCCTCCTCCTCCTCCTCCTCCTCCTCCTCCTCCTCCTCCCCCACCGCATACTCATACGTTTTCCCCTTCTCAGCCTCCTCCTCCTCCTTGTCCTTCTCCTCCCACTCCTCCTCATCTCATCCTGCATCGCTGTGGATGTCCCATCTCCTCGGGGCGGTACTCCTTTTCGGCGGGTGGGTGGGGCCGTTCCGGCTGGGCCGGCCCGGGGAGGAGGAGACGTGCTCATACCCCAAAAATCCGACGACGGTATTTTCAATGCGCAGCCCCAGGGGTCCCGATTTTTTTCCCTGGGGCCTGATAATAACCGTCCCCAGTCGCCGCAATCGATGCATCAACCTTTAATCTTGGCATCGCTTGGACGTGTGCATTTTTCTTTCGGCGAGGACCATCGAGGAGCATCCTTGATCATTGGGCGAAAAAACCACGCACGAAGCCGAAAAAAGCACAGGGAATCGACGTCCGAGCGATGGCCAGTAATTATACTAAGCATATCTTCGAACATCTGCGGCGATTTACCCCCGTCCGTCCTGCTTCGCTGCGGACTGCCCACCTCTTTGTCGGAGCTGCCCGCCCCGACGGCGCGAGCGAGGGTGAGGGCAGGTGGGCGATGGTGGGAATGAGGAGGAGGAGGAGGAGGAGGAGGAGGAGGAGGAGGATGAGGCTGAGGAGGAGGTTGTTGAGCCGCGTTTCCCGCTGCATGCGCGCATAGAAGTGAGCTGCGGCCTTTGCTACCCGAGCTGGAGTAACTGCAGACGACGAGTCGAGAGTGAGGGGTGGGGGTGCGTTGGCGAGGACAGAGGGAGGGTGCCGAGAAGGAGGAGGAAGAGGAGGCGAATGAGGAAAAGGACGAAGCTTGATGCGTGGGAGGCAGGAGGATGGTGGAGGAGGTGGAAGGGGTGGAGGGCGGAGGAGGGAAAATGCAGGGGGCGGGCGGCGAGGGGAATGCGGCGGACGGAGGAGGACGAGGACGAGGACGAGGACGAGTAAGGAGGGTGGAGCCCAGCCATTCCATTCTTCCTCCTCCCTCATCGTCCACGCTCCTCCTCTCTTCTCCTCGTCCTCCTCGCATCTTCTCCCTTCTCCTGCTCATCTCTTCTGCTTATACGCCCCCATCCTTGATGGACGTGAGGGGGCATGGGCAGTGGGACGCGGATCCACACCTGGACTTTCGACCCCGCCAACCGTTCCGACGCGACGGTGGCGCGGTGGCATCCCCGGCACCCCCTCCCCACCCCTCTGTCGGGGCTGGCGCAGATTGGAGAACGGTTTGCCTGGGGTGCAGCAGGCCGGATCCATTTGGTGTGGCCGGCTGGGGCCAGAGGTGCAAATTGCAGGCTGGTGTCGAAATGGTACAGCTTCGAAGAGGCGGCGACGCCGGCGCGGGCCCCAGAACCGTCAGAAACGATTCAGGGTGAGCTGGGGTAAGGCCCCGGTTTCCCTCGAGAGCCGTTTCGGCCATGCCAGTCCGTGCCTCGGGGCCCACAGGGAGTAGCCCACGGCGCGAAAGCCACACGAAAGGTGAGATCGAGAGCCTCTGGGCACAACCCAGAGCTGAGATCGTTGGAGCCAGTGTCAGAGAAGCCAAGGCCCCTGTGGTCAAGGCAGGGAACTTCCGTACAAGTGTGGCCGCCTGTCGTACCAGCGTGTGGTCTTCGTGCGGCTGGACATGTGTGCCACCTCGGCATGTGTATCCTCGTGCATCTTGCGCAGACTGCCCGAGGATTTGTAAAGATCTGCGTTGTTGTGACGACCTTGGCCTCTTGGGGCGATGCGCGAGTTGTTCTGCTGCTGGCGCTCAGGCCCCGCGCTCGTGGCATTCGGAGCTCGCATGGCGCTCGTGCCTGGCACTCTTGGCATTCGGAGGCCCGCGTGTCAGCGGCGTCCGACGGATTTTTTTTCAGCATGCGGGTCCCATGAGGTCTCGACTCCCTCCCTCCCAGGGCGGCAGTCTCCTCCGTCCAGTGGACCTGTCTCTGCCTGCCCTGCAGGGCCCAGCAGGCATCCTGCGGAGGCCGAGATTTCGGAAGGACGCCTTGAGTGTACACTCTCACCGAACAAAAACACGCTCGCTGGTGGTCGAGGTCCCCCTGCCCCCCCGCCGATCGCGCCCAGCATGCCGCGGGAGCGCGCGGCCTTTGGGCGACGACGACGACCGCGACCACGACCACGCCCACGACGGGAGGCTCGGCCGGTCCGGGGGGGCTCTCCTCGCCGCGGCTCTCAGACGTGGCTCGGAGAGCTCTGGCCGGCAACGGGCCCCGGGAGGTGGTCCGCGGGGGGGGGCGATCCGGAGCGGAGCCCGGCGGCGGCGGCGGCGGCGACGGTGACGGTCACTTGGCATCGCTCGGACGTGTGCATTTTTTCTCGGCGAGGACCATCGAGGACCACCCTGGGCCATCGAGCAAACAAAAACATGCACGAATCCGAAAAAAGCACAGGGAAATGGACGTCCGAGCGACGGGGACGGGCACGACGGACGCCGCCCGGGGGGGGGGGGGGGCAGGCTGCCGCGTGCGCGGCGGTCGGCAGCTCCGCCGCCGCCGCCAGCCGCGGCGGCAGCGGCGCGGTGCGTGCCGCCGGGGCGCCCGGGCGCCCCGCGGGCGGCGCCGCCGCGGCGCCGGGCCGCCTCGCCGCAGGAGGGCAGGGGTCAGGTCGTCACCACCCACCAAACCACCCCAACCCAACCCGAAGCCCTCAATGTGCCTTCCATTTCCAAGGGGGGGGGTCGGGGAACGTTGAAAAAACACATGGGACCCGTACCCCCCCCCACCCGAAATTCGGGTCAAATTCGGATCTTCGGGTTGGGTTGGGGTGGTCTGGTAAGTAGTCAGATCGAGGCTCCCGGCCCGAGGATGGAGGCTGTTGGTCGGGACGCACGAGATCGGGGTCAATGCAGCCGGTGGTCTGCCAGAGCGCAGGATCTTGCAGGGTCCTGCAGAGCCAGGTGTGCATTGATCCAGGCTTGCGCGCAGGATCCTGCCGGATCAGGATCTTGCAGGGTCCTGCAGAGTTTGACTGGCCACGGTTTCCATTGGCCCGGGTCAGTACGTCCGCCATTTTGTCAGTGGCACAGTAGAGGTTTTTTTTGCACTCTTTGGCGATCGCGCAGACGGCGCTTGCGCGAATCGTTTTGTGACCAAGGGGATTGGGGGAGGGGGTGACGGGGCTGGTCACGTCCGTAATCGCGAAAAGTAAAAAAGTGGGCTTGCAATGACGGTTGGTGTGGAACCCCGCCGAAGGCTCCCACTTGCGGGCCTCTCTTGGGCATTGCATGCATCACTGCCCGCTTTGGGGAGGACCGCTGGCCAAAGTCCCTTTCATTAGAGGGGCGCTGGTTTTGACGTTCTCTACCTCTTTCGGCCTCAGGGAGGCGTCTTGTCGCCGCGCCACTGGGTCACCCTCGAGATCCTGTGGCGCAGCGTACCCTAGGGGTCTTGTGACCCTCTTGAGGCTTTCAAGCGTCGTCTTTTTCGAGCCGCCAGATGTTTGGGGAGGGCGTGGAGGTCGCAGCGTCGTCGACGACGACGACGAGGAGGGGGGTAGAGGCGAACGTTAATCCTCTCAATCCAGATCGACGTCGGCGGACGCGTTTGCGAGAACCCCCACGTCGGCGGCGGCGGTCCGAGGTCAAACATCGGCAGAGAAGACCGCCGCGCCTCCTGCCTGGCTCCAACGGCGTGGCCGGCATGCCGAAGGACATCGCGATCGTGGAGATCAACGCTCTCCTGGCTATCGCCATCAAGTTCGGGGACAAGCAGGCTCGCAAGCAGTCCGAGTCATGGAGTAAGCAGAGGGTGGCCGAGTCCAGAGGTCCAGTTGTCAGGCCTCTGGAGCGCCAAGCGGGCGAGGCCCTCCAGAGGGTCCAGATCCTTGAGAAGCGCCTCGGCAACTCCAACACAAACGTCGAGGAGGCTCGTGAGCGGCAGGCTGAGAGTCCAAGCTTGAAGTAGCGCGGGCGGAGCTCGTGGAGCAGGACAACACACACGAAGAGCGGGCGCAGGAACTGCACAAGTCGGTTCATCGTCCTGGGCCTCTCGCCCCGCCTGCGGCCGCTGGAGGCATCAGCCTGCGGGACATCATCGCGGGCAACAAAGGAGGCCTGGTGCTGGTCGACGACGACGAGCTTCTGGGTATCGACCACAGCCAGTATGATTTTTCTCCTTCGGACCTCGAGGAGTTCACTCGCAGAAAGGAAATTCCGCAGGCGGGCTTCAAGGAACTATCCGCGAAGTCCTGGCGACCATGGGCCGCATCAAAGCTGAATAGGCCGCGCATGTGGAGCGCCTCACTAAAAAAACGCAGGTCGGACAACCATAACGAGGAGCCTGTTGACGGAGCTGGCGTTGCAGCCCCTGCCTCACCTGGGTTTCCCAGCGGAGGCAGCCAGGCCACTATGGAAGAGCTGCAGCGGAAGGAAGTCGGTCGCGGTGAGGCGGGGCTTAACGCTGATTCAGCAAGGGTTGCCTCGACGACACCCACGGACGTGCGCGAACGGCGCGGGCAAGGGCGGCAGTGAGGACGGGCAGCCAGCGTCATCCGCCTCGCCCGTCGCCTCCCTTTGCGTGCCCACCAGGGGCTATGGAGACGCGGGGCCAAGCAATTGTTCCCAACTTTAGTAGCGATCAGCAGAAATTTGTCGAGGCTGTCTCCGGCCCTAGCCAGGCTGATTCGCATCCCCGCCCCTGGGGCCCCATTCCTGGATATTGGCGCGGGTCTTCGGCCCCCAGCTCGTTCGATTTCGGGCAGTTTTGAATTGGAGGTTGAGACCGCATGTTGCACGGGGTGGGGGGGCGCGGAGTCGCGGCGAAGTCGGACATCCGCGCATGCGCCTCTCGTCTTGGAGCACCGCCTCGCCCCCTTGCGATCAGGTCGGCGAGGCATTTCAGTGGGCCCGACGTGCAGCGTGGGAATCACGATCCCTTCAGCTGCTCCTCGCGTGGGGCTCGGGTCGTCTGGCCGAGTTGTAATGGTTAAAAGGTTTCTTGGGCATGCGCCGCAGGCGTGCGCGACTTTGGAGACGGCCCCGAGCTGGCCCCGAATCGTAGCGCGGCTTTGGTCATCCAGATTCCAGGGGTGGGGGTCGGTTTTGGCGGCCCCTGCTTATCTCAAGGACTCGGAGGGCCTTTCGGAGTACAACCTAAGTATCATAGCCGCGTTGGGGCCCTTGGTATCATGGCATCACGGTTCGTTCATTCCGGGGGCCGATGTCCAGATGACACCGCTGGCCGCTAGTGACCTAGTGCACTCTTTCGGCTAACATCGTCTTTCCCAGACCTCAGGGCATGTGCGCTGGCACCTCGAAGGAGGGGGGTGGGGAGTTGGACTTGTTCGTCGTGTCCAGCGGCTGGCCCCGGGCCGTCAAGCGCACGACTGTCAGATATGAAGCGGCTACGAAGCCGCGCGAGCCAGTAAGGATCCAGTTCTTCAAGCAGGTTGCGAATTTGCAGGCTCTCGGATTTGTGGATCATCCGCCTTTCCCTGTTGGTGAGGCGATTCGACCTTCGCCTCGGGCTTCGCCCTGGAGCGTGGGACTCGACTGCTGGTAGTGCTGGCTCGATCTCGTGCGTGTTCGAGCCCCGATGGGGCTCTATCCAGCTGAACACCCTTTACAAACTCTGGGCTAACAAGGCTATGATGAAACTCCAAGGGGATCGGTCAGTCACTTCGCCCATCCTGAGAACCCGCGGTCGGCTTCCTAATTTGGCGTGGAAAACTGCCTTGGGCAAATATAAGTGCGTTTTCCAGCGGCCTAAGTTATCTGCTCTTCGGGTGGTTGAAAAAGCACTTTCAGAATATGTGTGGCTGCGCTTCGCCTGGAGGGCTCGTCAGGTCATTCGGCGGGCGCTGGTATTTCCACCGCTTCTGGCGCGCGCTCGATGGGGCCACCCTGCTCCAGCGGGCCCGGCAGGCGCGCGGCCCTCGCGGGGGGGGGGGGGGGGCGCCCGGGGGGGCCCTCTCACTTGGCTCGCCGCGCGAGGCAGGCAATTTCCGGTCGAGACCTCCGACGTTGATGTCAGACCAGATCGGCGAGTTTGGAGCAAAGTTCACAGGTGTCCAAAGCGTGGCCCAGAACGTTTTCGACGCGCTGGGTCGCGGGCCTCTGGGGGCGAAGGCTTGCGCCGATTTTCTGGCCAATGGTGCCGCGGTCCTGGGCGATGCCTCGGAGTTCCCCGGGATTTGTTCGAGTTCCCAGGAAAATGAAAGCAACGCAGAGTGGAGGCCTTTGCTTTTGGATGGATCTGGTGCTGGGTCTCGCAGAATACACTGGTGGACTCGAGGGGCTGTTCCATGGGCTCCTTCTTCGACGTCATCTTGTAACGGGGTGGTTCTTTCTGATCCTCAGGCTTAGTTGGGAAGTGATGCCGCTCGTTTTAGTGGCCTTTGGGGCGCCACTAGGCAGCCCCCCACGCAGGGGCCCATATATGTTCGCGGCCCGCTGCCCGTTGCGTCGCCCGATATGTTGCGCAGCGCGCTTCGAGGAGTTATCCGCGTCGCTCGGCTACTAGTTTGGATGGAACTCACATTCGCCATTCTGCTGCCTTGCCCGATGGTGCTTCGACCTGCCTCGCGATGGTATTCAGCATCATTGGGGCTTCGGCCGCCTTTCCAATGCAGATCAGATGCGCGATAGCCCCCCTCTCACCAAAGTCGGCTGGGGCGCGGAGGCCAATCGGCTCAGTCTCTTGTCCTTTGTTCGTCTCTGGGGGAGGCGGCGAAGGGGGTAGGCGGCGCAGTGGGGCGGCAAGTTCCAGCGTCCGCACCTGGCGGCAGGCGCTTGCTCAGGCGCGGCAGACGTTGTCTGGGGGCAGGCTGTCAAGGCGGAGGTCTCTACTAAACGATTCAAGTCCCATGCCTCCTTCCCAGCGTCGTGGGACCTACGCGAACTTTACGAGCTGATCCGATTGATTGCCTCTTCTCCAGCAGCGATGCGATACGTTGGTGATTCCTCGTCGGGTCTCCGGAGTTTGCATCGCTGCCCGTCGAGGGCCGAGGTGCGCGGCGGTTGCGGGCGTGGTGAGGGGGCCGTTCTTTGCAGATCATGGCGTTGTATAAGGTGATGCATGTGCCACTTTTCTCGTGCGCGCGTTCGCGATTCTTACCGTGGACATGATGAGTGAGCACTTGCGCAGGTGGTTTAGAACATGCACCTGTGTTGATGGTAATCAGCTCCCGGGAACAGCATCACACGTCATCGATGCGAACGCGACATCAACCTCGCAATTGTACTCAGTCCTCGCTGACAACGCGATGTGCGTTGTCTCGGAGGACAAGGCCTCAGCGGCGTGCTCCTCCCAGGCAGTCGGGGCCCAGCTTCTTTGTTATCCCAATCGAAGGCTTGGGGGGCAAGGTGTCAGCTGTCTACTCGTCTGCCAATCTCGGGGTGGATGGCGCTGCGGGAAGGTCGAGGCGACAGGGGGGGCATGGGGTGTGAAGCATGCTCGTGGACGCGCAGCCTTTAAGGAGCGCGTGCAGCGCCCTGGCAGATGCCGCGCTGCTTTAGGGCAGAGGCTTGCCAGGCGAGTTTGTCCTGCGACAGGCCCTTTGGCGGGGGCCACTTACTCTTCGGAAGTGCACGGAGCTTCAGATTGCGAATTGGGTGGTTTGCGTCGTTCCTTCGGTCGGGTGCTCTCACCATCTTCTGGACAGCGAAGCATCTTTTGCTTGCTTGTCCTTGAGGAAGATCCCTGCTGGTTTCCTGCTGCTTCGCCCGCTGCGCGGTATTCTAAATAAATGTGGGCCAATCAGTATAAGATATTCAAATTTCCGCTGCCGCTCCGATTTCTGAGGCAAGCTCGGGAACAAGTCTGCGGGGGTCTTGAAGGCGACCAGGGGGGGGAGGGCTTGCCTGGAGGAAGGTTGGGGGCCCCGTCGGGGCCATGGGGCTGTCTATATATCCGATCGACTGGGGCATTAAATCATTCACCGGGCTTGTCAAATATTTCGGGGGCACCTGTTAGGCATGGCGCTCATCAGATCTTCCATCAGAGACGGAGTCACCAGGCAGTTGCAGCGCGAGTCAGGCAAGTCCGTCGGCGTGGGCGTCAGGCTCTGCTACGACGTGGCCTGGGCAGCCCTGTCCTCCAGCACGTTCGCCGCCTACGAGAGAGGATGCATCCGTGGGCTTCGTTGTGGCGCTGCCTGGACCTGGACCATGGATCTTGCGATCCAAGCAGGCATCCCATTCAGTCCGACCTGTGTCCGCTCCGCAAGGCTGATCCAGATCCGATCTACCATCGATTGTGGAGTTGTTCCGCGTTTCAATTTCAGAGGGGTGAAATCGCGGACCCCGAGGTCCAAGGAGCAGCCAGAGCGATCGACGAGGATGATCGGCAGCAGTTCCTTCTGTACACTAAGGCGGGCTTCCTTCGCCCAGGTGATTCTTGGGCTTGCGCCGCCCCGTCGACCCGTTGGGGGGCTCCTGGTCGGTTTCTCGAGGGCCTCATGGCAGCTTTTTTGAAGCCTTTTGGAGGCCGTTTTGGGGTTTCTTGGGGCCTCTTTCGGGCTTCTGGTAAACATGTTGGGGCCTTGGGGGCTTCTTCGGGCCTTTCTGGGGCTTCCTGGAGGCTTCTTGGGGCCGGGGGCTCGAAATCTTCGTTCGGGCCCCCCGCCTGGGCCCTTCTCCTGGAGCCGTCTTGAGGGCCGTCTTGGGTCATTATTGGGCCGTCTTGGAGCTTTCTTGGAGCTTCCTGGGCCGTCTTGGGGCGATCTCGAGGCCTCTTGGGCCTTCTTGGACGCAGTGAAAGCCCAATCGGCGAAAATCATTCGCTTCCCGAGTGAAATGAGACACTTGTTGCTTCTGGGGGCCCTCTTGGGACGCCTCTTGGGGGCCTCTTGGGCGTCTCGGAGGCCTCTTGGGCCGTCTGGGGACCCTCTTCGGCGTCTTTGAACGATCCATCGACAACTCGGGGCCTCCTCGGACCATCTCATGGGCTTCTCAGGACCCTCGTGGCCCGTCGTGAGGCCCGCGGCGCGATCAGCCGGGGCGGGCCGGACCCCACCCCCTCCAAACCGATTGGACCGGGCCCCGGGGGGAAGGGTTTGGGGAGGGCGAAGCATCATGCATCTCACGCGCCGATGACCCCAAGGGGTCGGCGGATTTCTAAGGCGTTGTCTGTGCCTTGGCCTGGCGACCCAGAGAACGCGAACGTCTCGGAGGACATCTGCATGGAGGGGGCCGAGCACAATTAGGGATTTATCTCGAGCGCGCTGGGGGTTAACAACCCTGTCGGAGTCTGGGGAGCTTTTGTGATGGGCCTATATGGACCCCCATCCCACAAACTAGTCAAACGGGGGATTTCGGGGCCGTAGAAGCTGCCTCTCAGTGCATTCATGCGCCGTCTCGTGGGCAATCTGATTGCCTGAGCGTTGTCAAGGCCAAGTGTGCCCCAGAGGCTCTACAGCTCTCCTATAAGCGCCCCCATGCAGCCATGGTGCTTTCGCCCCCCTTGGCCCCCTGGGTTGGTTCTAGCAAAGTGGAGGCCCGCGTTCTTGAAGAAGAGGTCCACTCTGCCCAGGGCGCTGTCTGTAAGGCAGGCAACGACGCGGAAGACAGGGTGGCCGAGCTTGGGCTTCGGCTGCACCCGAGCCCCGCCATCAACGAGCGTGAGTTTCTGCATTGGCAGATTCGAGTGTGCAAGGCAGTGATCAAGCATGGAGCACGGCCCTTCCCTGCTTGGCCTTGGCTTGATTTGTCGGGAGATGAAATACTCGAGGCCCCGAGGGTTGCGAAAGTTTGTGCTCGCGCGGTCGACCACGAGTGGTCGTCGTGTGGAACGTATTGGAGGTGCGACACCTGTTTGTGATTCAAGCGCAAAGTCCCTCGCCTTCTGGCTGTTCGTGGGAGGTCCCCTTGGCCCTGTTAGGGGTGAAAGAGCGAGAGCATACGCTCCTCTCTTCTGAATACTCCGATGAGATTCCGCTGTTCGTGTGTACCTCGTGCAAGGCCTACATTACATGGGATCCCCTCACGATCCTGGGTGAACAATGCCTGGGGGCGAAGGGAGCGACGAGGAGTAATAGGAACAGGTGATCTCTGATTCTAGAGTGCCGTCACCCGAGGCACGAAGGTGTGACGCTGACGGCAGGCATCCTTGCGTTCGACTGATCTTGATGGCAGGGCGCGGTCCACGGAACAAAAAAATACAAGTCCAAGGTAAGATATCGCCACCAGGTTTGTTCCGATATTGGCTCTTGTAACAAGTGAAGTGGAATCCAGCCGCAGCGGCGAGAAGTCCCCATAATGTCCCAAAGGGGCGTAAAAGAGACCACGCCATCTGTTGCTTCGATTCGTTCGACGCGTGGAACCTCAGACCTCTCGACCCCTTTCCATAAACCGCTTTGTCATCGCACCGCATCGCATCGCCTGCGGCCCGAGGGTTGTCGAATCGATCACGCGACGCCTTCACTCCTCGTGGCAGGCATCTTCACGCATACTGTTTAGAACTGTGGCCGAGAAATTTTGCGTCACGGATTGACGCTCTGACAGGAATCTGTTTAGTTACCGCTTGCCGCTTGAGGCAACCATTTGAGGGGGTTCGGCAGCAGCCCTCAGGATGCAGCTTGGCCAGCGCCCTCGTCCCCCGAACCGTTCGAGGCCAAGGACGAGGAGGACGAGGACGACGAGGAGGAGGAGCGGGAGAGTCATTACGAACGCCCCCCTCGCTATATTTTGCCGTTCCGCCTTTTCCCTGCGGAAGAGGGTTGGCGGAGCCATCTTATAGGCATTGCTATGCAGCTATTTAGCGTTCCGTTGCAACGGTGCGCGCGCGGCCGGCCCCCCTGCCTTCGGCGGGCTACTACGGAAGAGGAAGAGGCAGAGGAATGGGACGCGGCCAGGGGAGGGCGAGGAGGAGGGGCGCGAGGGGCGGGAGGTTGAGGCACACTCCGTGTTTCCCACCTCTGGATTCCGAGGCTTTGCCGCCTCCCGCCTCGTTCTGAGGCTGCGCCCCCCTTTTCCTCCATCTCTGATTAATTCAAGCTTCGCGCGGCCCGCTTAGCTTCGACCGGAAGAGGTGCGCTCTCGACCTGCGGATCAAAAAGTGTTTCCCACCTCCGGGGCCCACCCGAGAGGCCCCGCGGCGGCGCTGGCCGGCGGCCGCGGCGCGCGCGGGGCCACGCCGGCCTCGGCGGTGCGGGCCCTCGGCGGCGGCGGGCCGGACCGCCTGAGGCGGCGCGGGGGGCCGGGGGGGGCAGGCCAGACGTTCAGGCAGTGGCGAAGCGTCTTGGCTCGCCTATAGCCCTACCAAACAATGTTCTAAGAACCTTTTGTGGCTTCCACGAAATATCCTTAGAATTTATGGCGGAGTCTGTCTTGTTTTATCACATCGGGTTTATGTTCTAGAAACATTGTTGTTGTAATTCGAACATATTTGGGTTCTAAGAACATTTCGTGGTAGGACTATAGGAATGCCGGGACGGTCGGTCCCTACTCAAAACGTGCAAGCCGCCCAGATTGACACTTCCGCTCAGTCGGGCGCTGCGTAATTCGAAGGAGGAACAGGCACCCGCATTGCTACCCTTCCCTCGTTTTCCCCTTTTGGGGCCTCTTGGGAGGCCCTCGTCGCCTCCGCTAGATTCGCTTCGAAGTTCTGGTCAGAACGCACCCAGGGAGAGGTCCAGGGAGTGGCGGTATCGGCACTTTTTGGTTTCCCAGGTAATGGGGAGGCGATAAAATGAGGGCGGCGCGAAGAGGTGCACCTTTGGGCCCTGACGGGGCCTGACCGTCTGAGGCAGCGCGGGCGCGGGGGGGAAGGCCGACGTGCAGACCAGCCAGGCTCTCACCTCCCAGACTTATGGTAGGGTTATGTTGCTCCCATCCTACTTAAAGACCACATCCCAGAAATAATTTCGAGCACCCGGAAAAGTGTCAAAAGAGTGTCGAAACAGTGTCGAAACAGTGTCGGACGAGTGTCTCCCAGGGCCCGACACGCGAAAACCCTCGAGTTTCGTTTTTTTGCTGGTGCTCGAAATTCTTTCTGGTGATCAAGGCTAAAGTAGGTTGGAACATCATAATGGGCGGGAATGTTTGGTCCGCGTGTCGGTCCGCCGGCTGTGGTCGTGGCCCACGGCGCTTCGGCACTGCCCGCGGTGCACTTCCCTGGTGTGCGGGCGCCGACGTCGGGAGCCTCTAACCGAGCCCGCCGCCCCGCGGGGCGGAGCCTCGCGCTGTCCGCTCGCAGGGCACGGCGTGTGGCGTGTGGTCGGGGCCGCAAGTGCAGGAAGCCATCGAAGAGCTCCTTACCCTACACCTCCCAGGGAGGAGGAGGAGGAGGAGGAGGAGGAGGAGGAGGAGGATCAGGAGGAGGAGGAGGAGCAAGAGGAGGAGGAGGATGAGGGGCAGTCTTTGCCGCTGTTCCAGGCCTCCCAGAGGGGGTCGCAGCAGATGGGATGGGAAGGCCGCGCCGCATCGCCGCTGCATCGCCGAGGCGGCTCGACATGATGTGGAGCTCGATGTTCTCCACGTCGACGTCGCCGGTGCATCGCCGACGTCGACACGGTGCATCGCCGATGCAGCGCCGATGCGGCGCGGCCCTCCGCCCCTTCCTGCTCGCACCCCACTTGTGAGGCCCCTTGGGTGGCCGGCTGGGAGGAGGAGGAGCGGGGGCAGGCCCCGAACAGTGCGCTGACCACCTTGTGCTCGGCAACGCGCACAAGGGGGTAGGGGGAGGGGGGAAGGCTTCTTAGAAGCACCCCTGCTTCTTAGAAGGCGCCGGCCTTGTCTGTAGATGTAAGGCCCGCGCCTTCGAAGAAGCAGCCTCCTTCTAAGAAGCCTTCCCCCCTCCCCCTACCCCCTTGTGCGCGCCGCCAATATGCGGTGAGTCGGTGGGGATTCTGGCGGACGAGCGACGCTATGGAATAGTCTTGCCCGCCGTCGGGGACGCCTGCCCCACGGCGGCTGGAAAAAGCTTGCACACCATCAATTTTCCAGCCGCCGTGGGGCCAGCGTCCCAACGTTGAAACGAAACAGGTTGTCTTACACCTTCCTCCGCCCTGTGAGATCCGGGGTGGCCGCACAGTTTCGGTAATCGGGTCGTTCTCCGAGGGCCTCTCGGGCGACTGGGGCCTTCGAGGTTCCAAAACCGTGCGGTGATTGAGCGCTGATGCCTGTCGGGATTCCGATGTCACCGCTCGATCCGTTACCGCACCGTTCCCGGACCCCTGACCGCATGGGGTCGAAGTAGATGGGATCCGTTGATCGCGCCGCATCGCCGATGTATCGGCTATACGGCTCGATGATGAGCTCGATTTCCTCAACGCCGACGACGCTCCTCAACGCCGACGACGCCGATGCACCAGTGAGTCCAGAGTCCAGTGCCTGCACCTGTGTGAGTCCAGGTCCAGCGCCTGCTCGGGGAGCCGATCCGGCGAGGTGTCCCAGGGGCAAGGTCGAGACCGGCCGGATGCGTCCGCGCCCTCATCCGCCTCCCTCATCCGCGTCTGCGTCCTCGCTGCTTGCGCCAAACCCCGCCACCGTGCCAGCGCACCAGAGTAAGCGTGAAGGAGGCTGAGTCAAATGCCCACTGCAATCCAGCTCGCGATCTCAACTCGCGCTGGTCTGAAACTCATCATCGGCACCTCGACTTGAACGCCTCTGAGGTGTCTCGGGGGCCTTTTGGAGGTCATCATTTTGGCTTGGGGAGTCTCGGGGGTTTGGGGCAGTCTTAGGCCTCTCCTGGCCCGCCCGACGCCTTCGGATGCCCTCTTGGGGTAATCTGGGCTGTCTTTGAGGCATGTTGGGCCACCTTGGAAGCATTGTGACGCCATCATGGATTCTCTTCTTCAGTTGTTTGGGCGCCGTCTGGACGCCAACCCCTGGACTCGCAGGGTGATACATGTGCCGTGGTGGACTGCTCAGACGGGTCCGTCCTTCGTACTTGTCTTCGCGGCCACTTCTGCAGCACTGGCGCCAGGGTCAGGAAGCTCGGAGAGAATGTTCTGGGCGAGGGGAGCCTGGGGCAGGCGGGGCCGCGTGGAAGTACGTCATCCAGGGACCACGCCCGCAGGAGAAGAAGACGAGCAGATCCGCCCAGCTCCTCCCCCTGTCCGCGGTCGGCACTGTTTCTCTGTCCTGAAGCAGCTGGCTTGGGACGTTCTGGGGCCTTCGGCGCCTCTACGCCGACTCTGGAGCCCATCGGCAGCACGGCTGATGTGCGTCCCCATTCTTCCTCTGTGCTTCTCTCCTTTGGGGTGGGCGGCGGGGATTCGGACAAGTTTATCATGCCCCTTAGCCGCATCGCAGACACGCTGAAGCGTCAGCGAGCGGCTGAGTTGGGCCTCGCTGTCATGCGCACCATCGCAAGTTCTAGCTGTGGGTTGTCAGGCCCCAGTGCGCATAAGTTTGCATGTGGCTCGCAGGTGAGCAAAGCTGCTTGCTATCTGTCGTCTGGATCCTTGGCGCCTCTCTCTCTCTCTCTCTCTCTCTCTCTTCGGGACACTCGACACCAGTTGCAGTATGTTTCGCGCAGCTTCTCTCGGCTCAGGACAGATTTGCGACGGGTTCGGACAGGCTGCGTGTCAGGGATTCAGTCAGCCCTGATTAAACCTTTGACCAGCTGCCGTTGGTTTTCGGAGGCCTGGTTCGATCTTTCAGTGTTTTTGTTTGCCAAGTTTCTCCATGGTGGTTGATGGATCATCCGTTTTTGTTTGTTCCCCTAAAACTAAGACAATCTTTTCAAGCCGAGTGCGCGCGGCAATTTGTTGAAGACCCGTTTCGAGCACCATGGCGAGATACCCATTTCGAGCACCACTTTCCCTCCACCCGTGCATCCGTTCGACATGCCAAGCGTCTATCTCGCAATCGAAGCAGTAGTCTCGGGCGACATGTCCGCCCGCCCTGCTGACACCTGGAGAGGCGACTGCGTGGAGTTCTCGAGGAAGACGGATGGAGGCGGGAGGAGAAGCGAGAAAGGGGGCGGAGGAGGAGGAGGAGGAGGAGGAGGAGGAGGGAAAAGGAAGGAAGAGGAGTGAGGAGGAGCAGGAGAGAGGAGGAGGAAGAGCAGGAGGAGGAGGAGGAGGTGGAGGAGCAGGAGGAGGAGGAGGAGGAGGAGGAGGAAAGGGAGGAAGGGAGCTATTCCGTCCTCCTGCCTCCCTCCTCCCTCCGCCTTCGCTTTCTCCTCCTCTCTTCCTGCACCCCCTCTTCGTTTCTCCCTCCCTCCTCTTTCTCCCTCCCCCTTCCTCCAGTGAGCTATTGATCCCTTCGCTGGGGCGGAATGTTCATCGCGGGCCGTGCCTTCTGACTGTCCCGGGTCCCGAACGGGATCTCCAAAGGCCGAAATTGATTGGAAAACCGCAAACGTTGAACGATTCACGACGGCGGAGGTCTGACGGTTTGGGGGCTTCAGGGTCGCCAGGTGTCTTTAGAGGGAACACGAGGCGAGGTCGCCAGAAGCACACCGAGGTTTCTGAGAGGCCCTGGAGGCCCGAGGGACCCTGGAGCGTCCAAAGACAGCCAACACAATGGATATCCCATCGGAAACGGCGGCGACGGCGACAACGGCGACGGCACGGTGCGGCGACGATGGCGGCGGCGACGGCGACGGCAGCGGCGACGGCGACAGCAGCGCCGTCGGCGGCGTCGGCGACAGCGGCGGCGGCGGCGACGGCGACGGAGCTGGCGAGCGCAGGCGGTGGCGCGGGCCCTCCGTGGTCGAGGCCGTGCGCGGCCCGCCCGTGGAGGAGCTGGCGGCCGAGGTGACCAGCCTGAGCTCCAACCGCCAGCGGGATCTGCTGACCACCAGGCGCGCCCTCTTCTTTTGGCGGCGCGCACAGGTGGGCAGAGGGAGGGGGGAGGCTTCTTAGGAGGTGGCTGCTTCTGAGAAGGCGCGGGCCTCACACCTACAGAGAAGGCCCGCGCTTTCTAAGAAGCAAGGGCGCTTCTACGAAGCCTTCGCCCCTCCCCCTGCCCCCCTTTGCGCGTGGCCGATTGTCCTTTTGCGGAGTTTTGATTTAAGAATGGAAGAAGGACCACCCGCGACGATGATACGGACACTCACGGCGACGACACGGACAAGGCGGACTGGGTGGCGGTTGTCGGGCCCGTCGTGGGGGGGTCGTCGTGGGGGGTCGTCGTGGGGGGTCGTCGTGGGTGGGTCGTCGCGATTGGGTCGTCTGGGCGGAAGCTTTTTGTTCCCCACATGTTTCGTGGGGTTCTGGTTTTCTTCCCTGCCGCGCCGCACCCGCGTCTCACACCTCCCCCCTCCCCTTCTCCTTCTCGCACAGCACAGCACGGCACGGCACGGCACGGCACGGCACAGCACAGCTCACCGCACAGCACAGCACAGCACAGCACAGCACAGCACAGCACAGCACAGCACAGCACAGCATACCACACAGGGCATTCTTTCGACGCCACAGGGGGTGGGGTGCGCAGAGGGTGGTCCCTCAGCGCGGCCTCTATCCGTGACACGCTCGCAGATCGTGGCAGGCGTGGCACTTTCTCGACACCACAGGGGGTGCGCAGAGGGTGGTCCCTCAGCGCGGCCTCTATCCGTGACACGCTCGCAGATCGTGGCAGGAGTGGCATTTTCTCGAAGCCGCAGGGGGTGCGCAGAGGGTGGTCCCTCAGCGCGGCCTCTATCCGTGACACGCTCGCAGATCGTGGCAGGAGTGGCACTTTCTCGACACCACAGGGGGTGCGCAGAGGGTGGTCCCTCAGCGCGGCCTGTATCCGTGACACGCTCGCAGATCGTGGCAGGAGTGGCACTTTCTCGACGCCACAGGGGGTGCGCAGAGGGTGGTCCCTCAGCGCGGCCTCTATCCGTGACACGCTCGCAGATCGTGGCAGGAGTGGCACTTCTCGACACCACAGGGGGTGTGCAGAGGGTGGTCCCTCAATCCGTGACACGCTCGCAGAGCAGGAGTTCTCGACACCACAGGGGGTGCGCAGAGGGTGGTCCCTCAGCGCGGCCTCTATCCGTGACACGCTCGCAGATCGTGGCAGGAGTGGCACTTTCTCGACACCACAGGGGGTGCGCAGAGGGTGGTCCCTCAGCGCGGCCTCTATCCGTGACACGCTCGCAGATCGTGGCAGGAGTGGCACTTTCTCGACACCACAGGGGGTGCGCAGAGGGTGGTCCCTCAGCGCGGCCTCTATCCGTGACACGCTCGCAGATCGTGGCAGGAGTGGCACTTTCTCGACACCACAGGGGGTGCGCAGAGGGTGGTCCCTCAGCGCGGCCTCTATCCGTGACACGCTCGCAGATCGTGGCAGGAGTGGCACTTTCTCGACACCACAGGGGGTGCGCAGAGGGTGGTCCCTCAGCGCGGCCTCTATCCGTGACACGCTCGCAGATCGTGGCAGGAGTGGCACTGTCTCGACACCACAGGGGGTGCGCAGGGGTGGTGGTCCCTCAGCGCGGCCTGTATCCGTGACACGCTCGCAGATCGTGGCATGAGTGGCACTTGCTCGACACCACAGGGGGTGCGCAGAGGGTGGTCCCTCAGCGCGGCCTCTATCCGTGACACGCTCGCAGATCGTGGCAGGAGTGGCACTTTCTCGACACCACAGGGGGTGCGCAGAGGGTGGTCCCTCAGCGCGGCCTCTATCCGTGACACGCTCGCAGATCGTGGCAGGAGTGGCACTTTCTCGACACCACAGGGGGTGCGCAGAGGGTGGTCCCTCAGCGCGGCCTCTATCCGTGACACGCTCGCAGATCGTGGCAGGAGTGGCACTTTCTCGACACCACAGGAGGTGCGCAGAGGGTGGTCCCTCAGCGCGGCCGCTATGCACGACGGTCGTCCAGGGCATAGCAGGCGTGGCACTTTCTCGACACCATAGAGGCTGCGCAGGGGGTGGTCCCTCACCGCGGCCGCTATGCACGACGGTCGTCCAGGGCATAGCAGGCGCGGCATTTTCTCGACACCACTGGGGGTGCGCAGGGGGTGGTCCCTCACCGCGGCCGCTGGCTGGCTCGAATCTGTCCTCGACGGAGGATAGAAGGCTAGGAAGAGGGAGGAGGTTCAAGCAATATGGCGTTGGATGACACATAGGGGAACATTCGCGACGAGGGCTGAGAACGCAGAATTGCACATGCATTATAAACTTAAGCAAACACTCAATATTTAAGTTAAGTATGTGGGGTTCCTCGGTAGCGTAATTAGCGTGTCGCGCCGCTTCGGCGCGACACGCCGACCACGTCCCCATACCCAGGCGGTCACGTCCCGAACTACTCTTAACCTCCCGCCGTTTTTCTTTCAAATGTTGGTTTTCGCTATAGCGCCGCGCGCATTTGTAGTAACATGTTGCAAATTGGCTTCACGAATCGAGGGCGGGCCTTTTTTTGTCACAATGTAGTTCTCGCCCCCGCGTCGCGCGCATTCTTGCCGAATCGTGCAACAGGGTCACGGTTTTGTTTGTATGAAATCCCAGGAGCGGCGTTTGGGTGACTCGCTGCGTTGAAGTCTTGCGCGATTTGGGATCAAGAAGTGTGTCAGGGCGCACCTCGCGATTTGCGGCGGTGAAGGCCCAGGAATTTGGCCTCGGGCTCCGAAAGGGGGCCCTTGGGACGGCTGGGAAGCTCACCCTAACGTGCCACCGTAGGGGCTCAACCTTCCCAGCCGCCCTGGGACAGGCGCCCCTCACCAGCGGCGAACATATTCGTATCCGCGCCCTCGCGGTCTGGATTCTGGGGCGCGATCCCGCGGATACGCGGTCGCACGGATACCCTTCATGCGGGGTCATCCGCCAAAAAACGCCCCATGTCCGCGGAGTCGCGGCCAAGGGGCCCGGCCCGCCAGGCCGCGGATACGGATATGTGTGTTCGCCCACGGGCTGGAGGAAACCCACGTTCATCTCACACCGCTTTTCGCCCGCCAATTCGTGCTGAGGAGACCGGGTGCAACGTGAGATGGGGGGGGCCTCCGGGGGTACGCATCGAGCCCCGGTCGCCCACGGATCCCCGGTAGGGGCCGGATCTCCCCTCCCCGCCCAGGACCGTGCGGATTCACTACATCGGGGATCCTTCGCCGATCTAACCGCGATGTATCGCCGATGCAACTGCGCCACTCCCCTGATGATTTCGGGTCATACTCGGGCTTCCAGCGGCCGCTCGGGACGGTTCGGGAACTCCCAGAACGCTCTCGGCGAGGCGCATCCGTTGGAAGGCACCACGAGGTTGGAGAGCCGCCGAGAGCCAACAAATTCGTCCGAAGGTCTCAAAGCTCGAACCTCGAGCGCTGCCCTTCGGGAGAAGGCCTCTAACCTCGAAGTCGCCCGAGGGCCTCGAACCTCGTCCGAGGACCTCGAGCCTCGAGCCTCGACCGTTGCGCATCAGGAGAAGGCCGCCGCCCGCCCCGTGCCGCCCGAGGCTGCTGGCGCTGCTGCGCCGCGCGGGGCCGGGGGAGCGCGCGGAACGGCTGCAGGGCCTGGCGCTACAGGTGTTTGCGTTCCACGAGGACGAGTGGGGCGCCCTTCTTTCTTTCCCCCCCTCTCTCTGCCCAAGATCCCCGCTGGATGAGGAGGATGGGGGTAGGAGGAGGAGGAGGAGGAGGAGAGGAGGAGAGGAGGAGGAGGAGGAGGAGGAGGAGTGAGGAGCGCGAGAATAATAGGAGGGAGGGCGGGGGAGGGGAGGAGGGGGAGGGAGGCGGAGGAACAGGAGCAGGAGGACGAGGAAGCTGAGGAACAGGAGGAGGAGGAGGAGGAGGAGGAGGAAGAGGGGGAGGAGGAGGAGGAGGAGGCGAAGGAAGGGGAGGGGAAGGGGGAGGGAGAGGGAGGCGGATAATAGCAGGAGGAGGAGGAGGCAGATGAGCGGGAGGAAGGGGAGGAGGGGGAGGGAGGCGGAGGAACAGGAGCAGGAGGACGAGGAAGCTGAGGAACAGGAGGAGGAGGCGGAGGAGGAGGAGGAGAAGGAGGAGAACCAGGAGGAGCGGCTTCGCGCATGCGCGCGAGGACGCGGGGCGCGGGAGGAGGACGCGGGGCACGTGGCCCTGCGCATCCTTGCCTGTCGGCGGTGAGCCCAGGGGGAGGGGGGCAGAGGCGGCGGGACGTCTTCGAAGGCGCCCGCGGCTCCGCGGAGGGCGGGAGGGCCTCTGAGGAGCCCCGCTGCCCTCTCGGAAGGCCTGCCCCCGCTCACGTCCCCCCTCGGGCGCGCCTTCCCTCGCGGCATCCCGCGGGATGCTCGGCCCCGTCCGTGGCGCACGGGGGCGCGGGGAGCGGGAGGAGGACGCGGGGGCACGGGGCACGGGGCCTTGCGCGCAGCGGCACCGAGGGTCGCGGAAGAGGGCGGTGCCGGTGTTTTTGCAAGGGCGCCCCCGAGGACGGGGAGTCGTTCGCACTTCGCGTTTCGCGGTTTGGCTTCGATTCCTCTTCGTCTTCTGGCGGTACAACATGGATGCCTGGTAGGTACCCTCTCAATTCCGTCTTCAGCGTCGGCTAGCGTCGATCAGCGTCTGGGAGTCGATGGGATATCCCGATTTGGCGTCGACTAGCTTCGATTAGCGTCGATTAGCGTCGATCTAGCGTCGATCTGGCGTCGACTAGCGTCGATCTAGCGTCGATCTAGCGTCGATTCGCAAGAGCCGACAAGGTGGTATGTGAGACTTCTATGAGTTGCCACCGAATCGTCCTCCTCCTCTCCCATGGGGAGCGGCGCGAGAGAGCGAAGTGATTCGCGCTTCGCGCAGCGCGAGGCGCGTAGTTAGGCGCCCTTGTTCTTTTTGCTCGGGTGGGGGCTACGTTCTGTTGTTGATGGTGTTCGCCCTTTTTGGTCATGGAGGCTACTCGTGGCCACGGCTAGATTCGCCTTCAAATGCTGGCCGGAAGGCGCCAGATGTTCCAGTGCTGGCACGAGCAGGAAATGGACCCTGATGGAAACGGGCCACGGGACCCCCAACAAAATTGCCCCGGACTGAAATGCTAGTTGGTCCCAGGGAAAGGCCCCCAAAGGTTCAGGACCCGCTGGGGGCTGAGGGGCCAGGGGCGCCCAGAGCAGTGCTGTGACGGACCGTGCGGTGGCAGTGGGATCCCCCATGACTCCACCGCACAGCACCGTCTTGGGACCCCGGAGCCCCCGGTCGCCCCAGAGATCCTTGCAGAACGACCCAGGTCCCAAAGCCGTGCGGTCACCCCGGATCCCCACTGACTCACCACTGCGGTCACCGCGCAGTGTGGGGCCCCCGTAGAGGACCGCAGCTCTCGGGCAGACTCAAGGCCTGCAGCGTAGGGCGCGTGCCCAGTCCCCTGGCGCCGTGTTTTTTTTTTTTTGTCCACAGAGTGTGGAGGTTACGCCACGAGCCAGTTTCTGACAGCACCGGTCCCTGGCTGGCAAGGACTTCCCGGCAGGCTGGGCATTCACCCAACATTAATTGCTTGTGATGATTTCGGGTCGCGAGGAGTGAAGTGTGCACGTAGTGGGAGCAAGCGATTGAAAAATGACCCCCACCCCACCAACCAGGAGGCCTCAAAATAAATGAGTTGGGCAGACTAATAAAATCCAGCCGCCAGAACTGGTTTCTTAATCGTCTGCCCCCCCAGCAATTTTCCTGCCATCGCCGTCGCCGTCGTCGTCGTCGTTGTCGTCCTCGTCGTCGTCACTGTCGTCGTCCGTCGTAATCGTCCATGTTCTCGTCCGCGTCCTCATCCTCGTCCTCGAAGTCGTTGTCGTCGTCGAAGTCGTCGTCGTCGTCGCAGTCGTCGTCGACTACAGCGGGCCTGTGCAGCACCCCCATAGGGCATCCGCAGAGCGTCGCCGTCGCCGTCGTCGTCCGTCGTCGTCGTCGCCTTCGTCCTCGTCCTCGTCTCCGTCCTCGTCCTCATCCTCATGATCGTCGTCATTATCGTCGTTATCGTCGTCGACTACAGCGGGCCTACGCAGCACCCCCTCCCATCGGGCGTCCGCAGAGAGTCGTCGTCGTCGTCGTCGTCGTCGTCGTCGTCGTCGTCGTCGCTGTTCGTCCTCGTCCTCATCCTTGTTCTCGTCGTCGTCGTCGTCTCAGTCGTCTCAGTCGTCTCAGTCGTCGTCGTCGTCGTCGTCGTCGTCGTCGTTATCGTCGTCGTTATCAGTGCATCCGCAGTGCGTCGTCGTCGACGCCGTCGTCGTCCGTCGTCCGTCGTCCTCGTTCTCGTCATCGTCCTGATTTCCGTCCTCGTCATCGTCGTCGTCATCGTCGTCGTTGTCGTCGTCTTCTTCGTCGTCGGCCTTCTGGTCGGCGCAGTCGCACGCGCGGGCGACCGCGGCGACTGGTTGGTTGGAGGAGGAGGAGGAGGAGGAGGAGGAGGAGGAGGAGGAGGAGGAGGAGGAGGCGGAGGCGGAGGAGGAGGAGGAGGACGAGAAGGAGGAGGACGAGGACGAGGAGGAGGAGGAGGAGGTCCAAACTTGTGGCCGCCTCGTGGAACTTCCCCCGGCCCCCCCCAGACAGCCCGGGACTCTCCGACCTCCGTCGGCCTGCCCTCCCCCCTCTCTTCAGAGCCTGAACTACCTACCCCGCTTTCGCTTCCAGGCAAAACCAAGTCATACCACGCGCCTCCTCGTCAAGCGGCCTGTCCAGTACAGGCCGTAGTTTGGCATCGCTTGGTATCTCTCGGAAGCGAGGGTGGTCAAAAGCGAGGTAGGTTTGTTTGCCCCCTATCTCTTACTTCTGTTGAGACCGCTCGCTCCCATGAAGCAAGGCCGGCGGCGCGCACCGGGGGGGAGGCCTTCTCAGAAGGCAGGGTGTTCCCGTCGGGCTGGACGAGGGTTACCAGCCTCGAACGTATCCTTATCCCCAAGATTGACGCGCCAGAAGCCGATGACAATCTTGGGGATCCGCCCTCAAAAAAGAAGGGAATCCCTAAGACTGGCATCGTGATGAGGAGGTGCCCAGCATAGGGATAGGGATATGTTCCAGGCTGGTAGGATGGGAGGGGGGAGCGAAAAGGGGGGGTACGAAACCTGCTGCCTGCAGCCGGTGTCGGCCCCGCCGCCGGGGCCATTCCTCGAGACCCGGGCGCAGGCGGACCAGCCACGCGAGCTGATCCTCTATCCCTGCCCTTTGCTATCCTGCCCTGCCGTTCCCCCCGATTCTGCGAGGGGCTCTCAGAAGGCCTCCCCCTCGCGCCTCCTTCTTTCTCGGTTAGGAGGCGGAGGAGGAGGAGGAGGAGAAGGAGGAGGAGGCCCTCTTCTCAGAGGAGCGAGAAGTCATGATAATGATGCGTTTCAGGATTTCACAGATTTTCCGTATTTTCCATTTTTCCTTTCGGATTTTGTATGGGATGGCCGTTAGATGTTTCAGAGTTCTTGGACCGCATCCTGAGCAAATCGCATCTTGGCCCTTGTCAGCCAAGAAAGTGTGCGACCGAATAATTAAGGGACCAAAAACGCGCCCGAAATTGTGACCTGAAGTGCAGTGTGACAGAAATTGTGACAAATTGAGCGTCGTCTTGATTTCGAACCAAGTGTTTCGGTCACACCCGGGCGCGGTCGGAATATTTCGGGAACAGTTTCGGTCGCTACACTCCCCTGATGGAGACGAGGCTGCGTGATTATTCTCATCGTATCCTCGTCAGCCGAGCCTCCAAAGTCCCGAGAAAATCCGTCAAGAGGGGGATGCAGGCAAAATCCGCTCACACTCGGAGCCAGAATTCCTCCCAGGGTCCATCACCCTGAATCCGTGTTTGACCGTCCCGGGCCCGAAAACGGCCTCCGGACACAGAAAAGGATAACAAAAAATTTTCCGGAGCCCGCCACCTGAGACCCAATGCAGTTCCAAGCTTGAGGCCTCTCGTCCGATCGGCGATCCGGCGCCACCGGGGACAGTTTCGGTCACGACCACTCACTGACGCAGACGAGGCTGCGTGACTGTTTCAGTGATCTCCTCGAGACAGACAGCGGCAGGAGCATTTCCGGAGCCCCGCGCGGAATTCCGAAGGCTTTTGTGCAGAAGCGTCGCAAAGCCGTTTTGCTACAGAAGACCGTCGGCAGCACCGAAAGCAGTGCTGGATTGGACGCCGGCCGGGCGCCGGGCGCCAGGCCGGCCGCTGAAACGTTGGACCGACGACGCCAGCAGCAGTTCAGAAGTTGGGATGGAGAGAACGTGTGAGAAGCAGCGTTCCGGCAGCCCGAGCAGGGCGCGCTCCGGCGCACGCCAGCCTTCGACTTTCGACCTTCAACCTGTGGTTTTGCTCCTTCTCGTTCTCTCTTCCCCGCCCGAGCCCCCCAGGACCCGGCGGTGGGCGCCCTGATGCGCGCGGGCGCGCGACACGCGGAGGCGTCGCGCGCGCCCGCGCGAGCGAGAGCCGTTTGTTGCTGTTGTTGCTGTTGCTGTTGCTGTTGCTGTTGCTGTTGGTGTTGTTGTTGTTGTTGTTGTTGGTATTGTTGTTGGTATTGTTGTTGAGATTATTTTTGTTGTTGGTGGTGGTGTTGCTGTCGTTGTTGATGGTGCTGTTGGTGATGTTGCTGTTGGTGCTGTTGCTGTTGCCGTTCATGTTGTTGTTATTGGTGGTGGTGGTGTTGCTGTCATTGGTGTTGTTGTTGCTGTGGTTGTAGTTGTGGTTGTGGTGGTTGCTGTTGCTGCTGTTGTTATTGTTGCTGCTGTTGTTGTTGTTGTTGTTGCTGTTGGTGTTGTTGTTGTTGTTGTTGTTGTTGTTGTTGTTGTTGTTGTTTTTGGTGTGGTTGTTGTTATTGTTGTTGCTGTTGTTGACAACCACAACAACGCGGACGGCTCCCGCTCGAGACTTCCTCGCAATTCGCTGAGGGATGACGGATCCCTCACAATTCATTGATGGATCTTTTTCCAGCCGTACGGACCCCCATAGGGGATCTTGCCATAGGTGTGGTAGGATCGCTACAGGCATCGTACCATAGCTGCATTGGTTCTTATAGGGACCCTACCAAAGCTGTAAGATGTCCTCGTAGGGATCGTTCCAGAGCTGGAAGGTTTCGGGCAAATTTCGGAGCACCTCTCACTCTTTTCGTGGCCCCGCATTAGGCTCCCCCTAAGGCTTCGAGCCAATTTCGGATCACCCCTCTCACGCTTCGTGGCCCCGCAGGAGGCTTCACTGAAGGCTGTGGGCTCATTTCGGAGCACTCCTCAGGCGTTTCGTGGCCCCGCATGAGGCTCCACCGAAGGCTTCGGGCCCATTTCGGGGCACCCCGCACACGCTTCGTGGCCCCGCAGGGGGCTCCACCGACTGCTTCGGGCAAATTTCAGGGCACTCCTCACGCGCTTCGTGGCCCCGCAGGAGGCTCCACCGAATGCTTCGGGCCAATTCCAGAGCACCCCTCACGCGCTTCGAGGCCCCCGCAAGCACTGTTTGGGAAGCCAATGCTCCTCCTCCCTTCCTCCCCTCCTCCCCTCCCTCCCCCTCCCCCTCTTCATTGCTCCTCCCTCCTTCGTCCTCCCTCTCCTTCCTCCTCTTCCTTTCTCCTCCCTCTCATTCCTCCCCCCCCTCCCTTTCCCTCCTCTCCTACCCCCTCCCTCTCCATCCTTCCCCTCATCGCCCTCTTCCTCTTTTTTTGTGTTTCGACTCTCTCTTATCCTTCTTTCCCATTCCTCCTATCCCTCTTATCCTTACTGCCCCGCTTATCGTTTTCATTCCTTTTACCCACAGATCCCTCCCATCTCTCTTCTTCCCCTTTCTCTCTTGCCACCTGTTTTTTATTTCCATCCCCCTATCAGTATATCCCTTCCGACTCCCACTCCCGCCCCCGCTCCCACTCCCGCTCCGACCCCAACCCATACCCTTTCCCCTCCCCCTGCCGTCGTCGCCGTCGGCGTCGGTAGGATGCCTGCCAGGATCATACGACAGCTGGTCGGATTCCGGTAGGGGTCCTGTTGCAGCTAGCAGGATCCCTGAAGGATCTGATTGCAGTTGGTAGGATCCCTATAGGGTCCTATGACAGCTGGCATGATCCGTGCGGGGATCCTATTGCAGCTGGCACGGTCCTTGTAGGGATCCCATGCAGCTGGTAGGATCCCTATAAGGATCCTGTGGGACCCTTTTTCGAAATGCTGCCGGATCCCTATAGGGATTCTGTGGGATCCCCATCGGGCTTTTGTACAATCCCCTACTGCAGTTGGGAGGATCCCGATAAGGATCCGAGTGCATTGGTAGGATCCCTGTAGGAATCCCATGGCAGCTGGTAGGATCCCTGTAGGGGTCATATTGCAGCTGGGAGGATACCTATAAGGATCTTGTGACAGTTGGTAGGATCGCTATAGGGATCCCTTGACGGTTGGCAGGATCCCGGTAGGGATCCTGTTGCAGCTGGTCGGATCTTTATAAGGATATCATTGCAGCTGGTAGGATTATTGTAGGGATCTGGTTGCAGCTAGCAGGGTCGTTGTAGGGAACATATCGCAGATTGTAGGAGCCATGTAAGGATCCTGTAGGACCCTCATGGGGTTTCTTTCGGATCCCTGTAGGGCTCCTGTAGGATCCCCATAGGGATCTTGTTGAAGCTGGGGGGGTCTCTACAAGAACCCGAGTGCAGCTGGTAGGGCCCCTATAGGGGCCCTATGACAGCTGGTGGGATCTCTGCAAGGGGACCTGTTGCAGCTGGTAGGATCCCTATATGGATTTCTGGCAGCTGGTGGGATTCCCATAAGGTACCGATGACAGCTGCCAGGATACCTGTAGGACTCCGAGTGCAGCTGGTAGGATCCCGACTGCAGCTGGCAGGATCTCTATAGACATCCTATGACAGCTGGTAGGATCCTTGTAGGGATCAGATTGGAGATGGTAGGATCCCTGTAGGGTTCAAATTGCAGCTGGTAGGATCCCCATCAGGATCCTGGAGGATCCATATAGGCTTGCTTCAGGATCCCTATAGGGTCTCTGTCGGATCCCCGCAGGGATTCTGTATGATCCCTATCGAGATCATATTGCAGCTGGGAGGATCCCTATAAAAAAAGGTCCTTCTGCAGCTGGTCGGATCTCTGTAGAAATCCTATGGCAGCTGGTAGGATCCCTGTAGGGATCCTAGTGCAGCTGGTCGGATCCCTAGAAGGATCTTTATTGCTGTTGGTGGGATCCACATAGGGATCCGATGACAGCTGGTAGGATCCCTGTAGGGGTCCTATTGTAGATGGTAGGAACCTTGTAGGGATCCTATTTCAGCTGTAGGTTCCCGATGAGGTCCTTGTAGGCTCCTTTTCTAGGGTTTCTATCCGACCCTTGTAGGGTTTCTGTAGGATCCCAAGACAGTTTCTGTAGGATCCTTTTCTAGGGTTTCTGTCGGATCCTTTTAGGGTTTCTGCAGAATCCTCTTTTCGGTTTCTGTTGGATACTTGTAGGGTGTCTTTCGGATCCCTCTAGGGTTTCTGTAGGGTCCCTATAGGGTTACTGTCGGATCCCCTATAGAGTTTCTGCTGGATCCCTATCGGGCTTCTATCGGATCCCTATACGGTTTCTACAGGAGTCGTAAAGGGCGTATGGAATCCCTCGCTTCGCTAGCGCGCACACGCAAGTCACCGGAGTCCTGAGGGACTCTTCCGGTGTTTCTTTTAGATTCCCGGCGTTGTTGTTGTTGTTGGGGGAGCCCCCAGCGCCGGGGTCCAGGGAAGGTCCGTGTCCTTGTTGTTGTTGTTGTTGTTGTTGTTGTTGTTGTGGTGGTGGTGGTGGTGGTGGTGGTGGTGGTGGTGGTGGTGGTGGTGGTTGTTGTTGTTGTTGTTGTTGTTGAATTGTCATTTCTGAAGAATGAATATTGTTGATCCCCCCACCGGTGTTTATTGTTTTTTCTCAATCAAAGTGTGCCCCTCGACGCTCGCACCCTGTTTTTTTACAGGGAAAGTCTTCCTGCTCAAACTGGCCCCCTGGCTCCCGGGTTTCAACAACAACGGCTCCCGCTTGAGACTTCCTCACAATTTAGCCACGACCCCCGCTCCCGCCCGAGACTTCCTCGCATGCTATTCAGGAATCGCTCTCTCGCTTGGGAATTCCTTACAATTTATTCAGGAATCGTTCTCCCGGCGCTCTGGAGTCGCGCTTTCGCTGGAGACTTGCTTGCAACTTACTGAAGAATGGCTTTGCGTTGGGATTTCCTGCAATTGTCCTAGCGCCGCGCTCCCGACACCCAGGCACCCAGGAGTCGCGCCCGTTGTGGCCCTTATGTGCATGCCCTTCGTGGCCCCGCTGTCGCCATTTGTGTCCCCCTCGCTGTCCTACGTGGCCCAGATGCTACCCTCAGTGGCCCCATAGTTGCCTGCTGTGGCCCCGCATTATCCGCACTTCGTGGCCCCCTGTCGTTCGCGCTCTTCGTGGGCCCATACGCGTTCCCTTCGTGTCCCCGCTGTCGCCCTTCGTGCCTTACTTCGTCTCCTTGTGGCCCTGCTGTCGTTCTCTCTCGCTCTCGCTTTCGCTCGTCGTCGCCGTCGTCGTCGTCGTCGCCGTCGTCTTCGACGTCGTCGTCGTCGTCGTCGTCGTCGTCGTCGTCGTCGTGGTTGGTCCCCTGTCCGTCCCTCTTGGGGTCGGGTCGACGGTCCGCGGCCGCCCCGCCGACGCTGCCGCTGGCCAGGCCGACGGTCCGCGGCCGCCCCGCCGCTTGCCGGGGCCGGCCTGCAGGGAAGAAAGGTATACCCCCCAAAAGGGGTTCGATCGAAGACGAAGAGGGCGGGTATCGAGGGTTTGGGAAGCACGCGTTATTGGACACTCGAGCATATAAGGGCGAACAGTATGAAAATGATTGTTGTTGTTGTTTTTGTTGAACGCTCATTTTTGAAGAAGAATTATTGTTGATCCCCCCCCACCGATGCACATTGATTTTTTCAATTGAAGTACCCCCCCCGGGGCTCGCACGTTGTTTTTTGTTAAAGAAAGTCTTCCTGCTCAAACTGGCCCCCTGCCCCCCGGACTACAACAACAACGGCTCCCGCCTGAGACGTCTCCACAATTTAGCCAGGACCCCGCTCCCGCCCGAGATTTCCTCGCATTTTATTCAGGAATCGCGCTCTCGCTTGGGACTTCCTTACAATTTATTCAGGAATCGCTCTCCCGGCGCTCTGGAGTCGCGCTTTCGCTGCAGACGCTCTTGCAATCTACTATAGAAAAGCGCCCTTGCGTTGGACTTTCTTGCGATTTACTCGAGCGCCGCGCTCCCGACACCCAGGCACCCAGGAGTCGCGCTCACGCTTAGGATTCCCTCACAGATTACCTAGGATCTCGCTGCCCTTCGTGGCCCCGCTGCAGCCCTTCCTGGCGCCCTCGCTTTGTTTCGTGGCCCCGCTGCAGCCCTTCGTGGCCCCCTCGCTGCCCTTCGTGGCCCCGTTGC